ATGGTGGTGCACATCTGTAATCCTAGCACTCTGGGAAGCTGAGACAGGAGGATCACAAGTTCAAGCCCAGCCTGGGCAGCTTTGTTAGACCCTGTCTCAAAATAAAAAGCTAAGTCTAAACCGGGCATGGTGGTTCACACCCATAATCCCAGCACAATCCCAGCAAATTCAAAGCCAGTTTAGACTATATAGTGAGGTCAAGGCCAGCCAGAACTACACAGGGAGACCCTATCTCAAAAAACAAAGACAGGAGGATGTGGCTTAGTGATAAAGTGCCCCAGGGACCAAAATAAAAGTAGCAGCAAGTCAGGCATGGAGATGCATGCCCATAATCCCAGCACTCTGGGAGCCTGAGGCAGGAGTATTGAAAGTGTGAGCCCATCCTGGGCAATTTAGCAAGACCTTATTCAAAATAAAAAGGGCTGAGGATATAGCTCAGTGAGTTGGCCCTAGATCCAGTCCTCAGTACCACCAAACAACAACAAAGGCAGCATTTTCTGTACAAGAATGTTCTTGTCAGTCTTCCCAGTGCAAGGTCTGCTCCCAGAGGCCAGGGATGGGTCTCTGTTCAGCAACATTTCAAACTCAGGGTTGTGTATCTGGCGTGTTTCAATCTGTTTAATTGTATAAAAGGTCCCATCCACATACATCCTGGGAGTTCCTAAGGCCTTTCCTGTCTCTCTTGGGGCTTCTTACAAGACCTCTTGATTTGTTTTGTTTTGTTTTGTTTTGTTTTGTTTACATGACCTCTTTTAGTCTTTTATAGCTCGCTGGCATTTAGGCCCCCAGATGGCTTGTTACTCTAAGGTTCTTCTTCTTTTTTTTTTTTTTTTCAGTGATATTTCCATTTATTTCACTTCCAGTAATGTTTTTCTCTTACATGATTGAACACATATTTTGCTTAAAAATTATCAGTCACTATTGAAGAAACAGTGGCTTATTTTTCTAATTAAGTTACCAAGGTACTGAATCTTAGGCCTCAAAAAATGTTGCACCTTATTATTTTCACTGAATAAGATCCTCTATTTTGATTATTCCTGCTGAGCAGCAATTTTGTTTTTCCAGTGGTTTCCATTTGCCAAATAGTCATGACAGATGCTTCAACATGGTGCCCACCGCTTCCAGGGATTCCACCTGATGAGTCCTCTTTCCCAGTGCAACAGCCGTGGCAGCCTCCACCCAGAGTTCAGCCATTGGGACTTCTCTATCGAGGCTGGCCAAGGAGTCCCACTTTGGCTGCCAGGGGCTCATTCTGCTGAATATGGTATTCCTGAAATCTCATGGATATTCTTTGGGTCATTTTAAAATACTTCTGTAAGCAATGTTCTGAACAGGTGATCTCTTCAGGTTTTACTTCTCTTGTTGTGAAGTCTTTACCATAGTCCAAAAAGCAGGTTTCTGTAAGTTTATTTTAGGTTCCCAGGAATTCCCTAAACTGTTTTATCTGATCAGATTCTGATATCTGTGCAGCCGTATTCTTTTGGTTTATTTATGAGTCACCTTTTCTGACCCATGAGTTTCCTGAGTTCCTGAGAAGCAGTTGTCCAACCTCTGCTCAGGGTTCCAATGAGGCCCGATTTCTACTCAGTCACTGGCTTACGTCCATACGAGGCTGAGGGGACTGCGACGACTGTCGGCCTGTTGGGGTTAAAGTGGGCGCCTTGGCCGGAGAATGGCAGAGATCTAAGGTTCTTTTTCGAGGGTAATATAGCACACAGAGTATGCAGTTGTGGGCACTGCTCTGCTTAGTACTTTTGGACCTTTTTTATGAACAGATCTAAGAAATAATATGTGTTTGAAATAAAAACAAAACTCCATAATTTCACACTGATGTTTCCAATTCAAATGAACCTTACAGTGTTTTCTTTCATTTTAAACATATGCCTATTTTGTAACTATGAGTATCTTGGTTTCTGGTATTATTAGCATAACTGCTTGCTTTATTCTCAGGTATTTTCAGAATAAACATCTTAATATTACCACTAATGACAAAATATGATCTAAAGGTTTAAGATTCCTTTGGAGCCCTTTCATCCTTAAAATGTATACCTTCTATTGAAAACATTCAGTTTTGGTTCTTGATTTCCTTTTTTTCCCCAAAGGACATTCAAAATACTTTTTCCTATATGATTCTGGCACCAACTTGATACCCAACTAATTTGTTTTGGTTAATTTTGAATTTTTAGAAATTGTACCTTTTTCCCTTGATTCTGTTTTATCTTCTCAGTTGTGAAATTTTTACATATTTTCAAAGTGAAGACAGGTAACACTAAGTTTGGAAAAGGCTCATTTCCAACCCACTCCCTGATATTTGTTTATCCATGATTCCAATGTTTTACTTAGACATTTAAGTAATTCTGATTCCCCAGGTCTTATACAAAAAGCAGTGGGTAGCACAGTGTGTGGTGGGTAGTATTTCATAAAGAAGTGTGCCTGTTTCCCTTCTGCTTTCTCCTTCTTGGCACTTACTCCATGACATATTATTCAGCCTCTGTGTAAGACTTGAACTGTACTAATCAAGAAAATGTTGAAAGTCATGCAATTTTTCTGTGTTATATGTGTGTGTGTGTGTGTGTGTGTGTGTGTGTGTGTGTGTGGTGCTAGAGATGGAATCCTTGGCCTCATGAGTGCTAAGTACCTGCTGTATACCCCTAGCCCCGTGAAACTTTTAAAAATATTTTTCTCTTATGCATGGATCAAGAATGTCAGTATTTTCTTTCATGGGTTGTTGCGAGAATTAAAGGCATTAACACTTACGAAATTTTTACAGCTGTGCCTGGCACTTTGTAACTGCCCAAGTGTTGACTGCTCTTCTTAAAGGATTTGTCATTTATGGTCTAGTAAGACTTAGTCTTGGGTACATCTTGGACATTTAAGTTTTTGATAGTGACCAGAGGAGATGGAGCAAAGATAAAGAGATGTTCTTCAGCCCTTTTTCTGAAACTGTCTTAGCAGAGTTGGGGTGATTTGGAATAGAAAGAAGTACTATCACTTCCTCTCTGTCTGGACTGGGCCTGGGAATTCTTCCACCTGGAAATGTCAGGATGCTAGCATCTCCAGACAGTGAACAGCCAGGGAGTGAAAGGTAGCCCAGCCCAGAGATCAGATTCTGGGATCTTCTACAGAAAGGAGCTGTTGTAGCTGACCCAGGCTTAGCCCCTATATGATCCTGGACAACCTGGCTTGGGAGAATGTAAGAAATGCATTTTACCTCCAAGAAAGCCCTTTGGCCACCAGTGTGACTGTTTCCTGTGCTCCATTCTCACATAATGCAACCCATTCCTTCCTCTTGGTCTGCAGAGCCAGACTGTACCTCAATGGCCACACCTGCTGTAGGCCAGGAATGACACTAGATACCCACCATGGTGATATCTGTCCATGTAGTGCTAGGCACTGGCTGGTAGTAAGTCTTGCTAGGTCCTGCCTTTGTGTGGAAGGGCTTTGAGAACTTCCTCCTTGAGTTCTGTTTACCGTATCTTCTGTCAATGTAAACATAGCTTATTCCTTCTGAAACCTACTTCCTCCTTCATGGTAGTAGGGAAAACTTCACAAAAATTTTTATGGTATCACAGACCTACAGGATAGTCCAGGGTGCTAATGAGAGGCTAGGTGTGGAATTTCCTGGCTTCCAGGTTCTCTCCCTCCAGCTTGAATGCCCTGTTTCCGTTCCTGACCTTCCTGTAGCCCCCCTGCACCTCCACTGCTCCCACTCACCACACTGCTGTCCTTTAGAGACCAGCCCTTATGACTGTATAGGGCCCTTTTACCCTGGGAACATTGTCTTTCCAACTGGAAGTTAATGGGGCCATTGGGAGTTGGGAATGTTGGCAGAATATCTCAGTCACCCTTTGTTTCAGCATTTTTTTCTTGTCCCTTTCTCTGTCTCTGTCCCCTTGACAGAACATTTGCCAGCTTCTCTTGTCCTTTCCCCTTCATGTTACCTTGCTCTGATTCCCCTAAGTGAAAAATAGTGGTGGAGTGGAGTGTGGAGATTGGGTGATAGGTATTAAAGGTATAGACAGTGTCCTTTAATTTCCACCCTCATCCAGTCCACATTTGTTTTCTGTCCTAAACACCTACTGTCTTTCTTTCTGCTGTCTGTTGGACTCAGCACCATGGTGACTTGGGAGGATAGTTGTTTAAGCAGGGCAGAATGAAAGCTGCCTTGCTGAAAGGATGGGCATTTCTATGGAGGGGAAAGATGTTCTCTGAAGTGAGGTTTAACTCAGACATTACTTCCTTGACTGTGGTGATTTACTGTAGTGATTTACCTACAGTACCTGGGAGTGAGTGTCCTTGGGTACAGAAAGGACAATTGTTGGAAGGCAGGCCCTACTAGGTCCTTCCAGAAACATGGCAGCCTGGACCGAGGGCCTGGGCAGGCAGGGACCTTCTTCACCTGCCGCTTTCAAGTGTTGCTTCCTTGCGTCCCTTGCTGGTGCAGGCAGCAGAGGAACATGGATTCCCTGCAGGCATGGCCAGATGCATCCCATGGAGATTTATGTGCACATACCACGTCAGCAGAGGAAAGGCAGAAACAGGCTCGGCATGAAAATGGAAAGCACATTTATACCCATATGCAAAGGCAACAGTGGCGAGCCTGTGTCTGTTTTGGGTAGGCTTTGTGACCCCAGGCCAGCTCCTTAGCCCTCTGTGACAAGAGGCTTTGAAATGACTCCTGGCTCTCTCAACTGAGTGGTCTTTCCATTAGAGTGGAGCAGCTGCCTTTTGAAGGTTCTCTGTGCCCTTCTTGTGTCTTTGTTTCTTTGTGCCTTTTATCAGCTACAGAGTGGGGCACTGACAGCTCTTCTCTGAGATGGATTCCAAAGGAGGGTGAGCCGGGCAGAGCACCTGCAACCATCTTGGTCAGGCCCAGGGCCCAGCAAGCTTGCAGGAAGAACCTCAGCTGGATGGCCAGGAAGGGCGAGGGGTTGGGAGAGGGAGTCACATGACTATGCTTCTCCATTTGGGATTAAACTGCTACCTGTTTTTACTTTTAGGACGAATACCTTTCCCTTGTGGCCAGGCTCATTATCCATTTTCGAGACATTCGTAAGTAAGATTTCATATTTCTGGGTTGTTATGATGGCTCTGAGAAGCAGACTCTTCTGCTGTTTAGTGGAGGCTGACCCTGTGGGCTGCAGTGCCTGAATTGGAATGTCAGTGTCCACTTGCTTCTGGGAAGCTCCTCACTGGATGGCATTGGGTTCCAGATTCTTCATACCCCTCAAGCCTCAGCCTCAAAAATGCAGATCCTGACATGATAGGAATGTTGGCCTCAAAGTGATCAAAATTGTTCTGATTTGATCTCCTTCTTATAGGACTTTTGTTTTTTAACCCCCAGGGCTGTTCTTTTTGGGGGGGGGGGCACTGGGGATCAAACTTGGGACCTTGCGCTTGCAAGGCAGGCGCCGGAACCACTGAGCTAAATCCCCAGCCCTTGGGGCAGTTCTTAAATAAGCAGTTTATTCTGAAACAGACACTTTCCAGTTGGTTTTATGGATCCATGGAGTCCTGACCTAATGTGTGTTTCTGTGATGCTGTGTTTCTGAGGTTGACTTTCTAAATCCCTACCCCTTGCTCCTATCTGTCATGAGGTTCCCCTCACTTTACATTGTACCCCCTCTGATTCAGAATGTCCACTGTGGTTCTGTCATTCTGGCCAGGCAGTGGCCCCAGCTCTTCAGAAATGAGTTGTTAAGATAACTTCAGAAGTGAGAAGTCTTGGTGCCTTTGTGTGTTTTGTGGAAGCATGTGACCCCAAGTGAGTGTTCCTGGATGGCTGTAGCCTGTGAAGGAAACTGGAGTAGATGACCACTTTGGGTACAGCCAACAACTCTCTTTCCTACCCCATTAATGTAATCAGTGGATATGGGCTTCTTCTGACACTGGCTTCTCTCCATGCCCCGTGGCTTAGTGACATTTGGAACATGGTTTTTAGAGGCAGCTGCAGCTTCAGTGTCAATTCCTGAGGGCAAAGAGAGACATTGAGAGCCAAGAGATTAGTATGATTTGCTTCTTCCCACACTTAACTCTTTACCAGAATGTCCAGTGGACTTCATGGGATCTCATTTTTTGGGGTTGTGGAAAGACCTGAAAAGTGTGGAAGAAGAGAAGGATCCAGGAATCTGGGAACCAAGCATCCAGATGTCCTGGTGCGCGCACACACACAGGCACACCCTGCTGTGCTCATCAGGACAGTCGCCTGGAGACACACATGATCCTGAGAGTCTCATGGGTTCACAGAGAGGGGCTCTTAGAAGCCTCTGGGCCACAGACTGTTGGGCAGTTCTTCCCCATATGCTGGGGCCAGCTAGACCTGACCTCCAGACAGCCTCAGGTACCTTCAGTTTCCTCACCTAGGCAACCAGAGTGGGCTGAAATGGAGGTGTTATCAAGTTCTCAGCTCCATAGTGGGTTCCTATTGCTCTTTTGCATGATTTTTTTTTTTTGGTACTGGGGATCGAACTCAGGGTCTTGTGGTTGCGAGGCAGGTGGTGGAACCACTGAGATAAATCCCCAGTCCCCTATTGCTCTTTTGTTTGTGGCCCAGAACCCACACTGAGATCCTGGACCTGGAAGGAAAGAAAAGTAGGCCCATAGGCCTAGAACCCCACCCCAGGGTGCCTCAGGCTTGAAACAGTTCCCTGAGGCTCTAAGTGGACTCCTGTGTGGCTCTGTGTCCTGTGCCCAGGGCCTCTGTGTGTTCAGTGCTACCAGGAGCAGATATCTCCTCCCCTGGTTGCCAGAAGTACCAGTGATTCCTTGGGGTTGAGGCCCTCAAGTCTCTTGCCTTGTTCCTGGGCAAGGTCAGATCAGTCTTACCAAATGACCTCTGGTCAAATGCCTTACAAAATTGACTTTCCTGTGGAAACATGTTTATATAAAACTTTGTTTACTTTGGTTTTTTTCTGTTTGTGTCTTTATACAGATAACAAGAAATCTCAAGCTTCTGTCAGTGGTAAGAGTTTTTTCTTTTGAAATAAAGTTTTTCCCAACCTCAGACTTGTGGCAGCAGGTGTGAGATGATGCATGCTTCTTCCTGTGCCTGGGTTAACCTGTTGCTAGAGGAGAATGTTCAGGAGATCTCTGGCAGGGCAGAGGCTAGCCAGCTGTACCCGAGTCTCTCCTCTACTTTTTATCTTCCTGCAGACTGAAGTCAAATGATGCCTCTCCTCCTTGTTTAAAGATTATAAAAACTCATAAATAAAGCTATTAATTCATTATTTAAAAATTTTGAGCTCCCTGGGAGAGAACTATTATCATATATTCAGTATAATGATCGCTAATAGCATGTCTTAAAGAGCAGATGTGAATTCAGATCCTTAAATTATAAAATTTCTTTGCAAAGTCAGAAATCTTTCCTTTTTAATTTCAAGGTTTTATCACATCAGGGGAATTCAGTCAGCAGAGCCCTAGTCTCTGCTGCTTAGGATGAGGTTAAGCCAGGTTCAAGCTGGCCGTGACCTCCAGCCTGTCAGGAAGGGAGTGAGCTAGCACTACAGGCTATGTGTCTGTGTGTCCTGCCCTACACAGGGACCTATAAATGATGGGTGCCCCTGCCTGTGTAGGCCCCATCTCAACCTGTATAGTGATTCTTGGCCTGTCAGAGGTGGGAGGGTCAAGTGCATGTCATCAGGAGAATGCCTGCGCTCTGTGGCATTGGGTGGTCCTTGGCACTACCCAGTTCTGTGGAAAGGTGACCCAGCCAGCTCACACCTGTTTGCAGGCTACTGTTTACCGTGAGTGCACACTCTTGTGATGATAGCATCAGACTTTCTGTGTGTGGTTGTGACATTGCTGACTGAGCTGAGTCTGCTTTCCTGAGGAGCTTAGTGAGCCCAGTCTGCCCCTCGGCACTCTGTGAAGCTCTTGCACACCTTGGGCTCTCTGGTGGACTTCTTCTGGCTGCACAGCTGTATTGGGGCAGCATCCTGCAAAGACTTGGAAGAGAAGTGGGGCACTGGTGTGTCAGCCTACTTGTGCCCTCCTTGAGGAGTGTCTGTCTGACTCCTCCTGCTTCTCTTCTCTGGCCACAGTGCTCCCACCTGCTGGGGAGAAGGGCCCCTTGTACTTTGTTTCTGGAAATCTCTGCAGTGTGCTCACCCAGCATGGTGTCTAGGTAGTCAGGTCATGGCTGCCATTTGCCTTTCAGGCCTCAGCTCATCCTTAGACTAACTGCTAGTGTAAGAGGGGATCATTTCCTGCCTAGCACTAGGACCCTGACCTAGGCCAGAGTAGGGGTGGGGTGTGCTCCTTGTTCTCATGTGGCTCATATTCTGGCAGCATTGATCAACAAACATATCCTGGCTCTGGGATTCTGGCTGTCAACTTTCGGGGCTTCCTGGGGGTAAAGCATATAGATGAGAAGATGTTTGTGCCCCGTGAGCCTCACACTTGTGAACCTGTTCAGCCCTGGGTACTTTACTGAGTTGCTGCTTGCTTATGTTCCAACAGATCCCATGAACGCACTGCAGAGCCTTACCGGTGGACCTGCCTCAGGAGCAGCCGGAATTGGCATGCCTCCTCGGGGCCCAGGACAATCCCTAGGCGGGATGGGTGGGCTTGGTGCCATGGGGCAGCCAATGTCCCTCTCTGGGCAGCCACCCCCTGGGACTTCAGGGATGACTCCTCATGGCATGACTGTAGTGTCTACAGGAACTCCACAGAGTGAGTACTGCACTTCCAAGAGAATTTGCTTTCTTTTTACAACACTGCATTTTATTCCTTTCCTTATGATGACATTAAGAAAAGCATGCAGGGGCCGGGGATTTAGCTCAGTGGTTTCGCCACCTGCTGTGCAAGCACAAGAACCTGAGTTTGATCTCTGGTACCAAAAATAATAAAGAAAGAAAAGCATGGAGAAGTTACAGATACCCCTGTCCTTTTGCCTCTCTAGGCTTAGTATGGAGAGAAAAGCTCCAAGCTCTATTTGAGCTACCAAAAGGATTAAGTGAAATTGGGCTCTCTGTTTTTTTTTCAGTCCTAGGGATTTAACCCAGGGTATTAACAATGAACTGTATCCCCAGCCTATTTTGCTTTTTATTTTGAAACAGTCTCCCTAAGTTGTCCCACTTGGGCTCAAACTTATGATCCTCCTGGCTCAGTGTCCCAGGGTGCTGGGATCACACACAGGTGTGCACCACCATGCCTGGGGAAACTAGGCTCTCTTTTTGGGTGGAGGATGAGGCTCTTGTAGAAGGTTGGGGAGGGCCTAGGCCAACATCCAAGGTCTAGGTTGTGTTTTACAATGGAAAAAGAAACAGTGTATTTTACGTGGTTCTTGGCTGTGGAGCAATGCAGTGTCAGCACCCCATGACCCCATGATCTGTCCCAAGGCCTGGAGCTATCCTTTCTGATGTTACTCTTGCCCCCTGGCCAGTCCTGGCTTAAGACTCACAGCCACGTCTTCATTGGACCCCCCCTCCTTGAAGGAGGTGCTTTGTTCTCTGTAGGTCATGCCATTGGTCCCTTGCATGTGGCTGCCGTGGCCAGGAGTGAGAGTGGAGCTATAGTCCAGTATTTCAGTTGGACCAGAGCTACTCTCAGGGAGAATCAGTGAACCTGCTTCCTCTTTTTTTCAAGACCCATTTTGATGTCTGTCTGATTCCCGTGAACATTTTTTCAATATTTGTAATGTGCTGTACCCACTGCAAAGTGCTTCAGTACTTTTTCTCCTTTTATGTAACTGTTTTTGACATAGTTTGATAGGAAGTTGTAGAATAGCTGGGTGTTCCCATGTGCCTTTTACCCAGTTGCCCCTAGTGATAATGCCTTGTGTAGTATGTTGTCAAAAGCAAGAAATAGTATCGGAACAATAATACCAACTCAGGTTGAGACTTTATCTTTGGTTTTTTGTTTGTTTTGTTTTGTTTTTTTTTTGGTACCTGGGATTGAACTAAGGACGTTGCGCTTGCGAGGCAGGCTGCAGAACCACTGAGCTAAATCCCCAGGCCATAGACATTTGACTTTTGAGATTGGCTCTTTTGCTCTTCATCATGCCCTTGAAATTCATCCAAGTTGTACAAGTAGTTCATGCCATTAATTGCTGAGTGTTTCCTGGGATGGACTTTCCACAGTTTGCCTTCCACTCACCCTTGAAAGATGTTTGGGTTGTTTCCAGTTTGATCTTGCTATGGACATCTGTATACAGGTTTGGTGTTTGAGTATATTTTTGTCATGAGTCCCTCACAATAACCCTATGAAGCAGGGAGTGGTAGTGTGTGCATGCCTGTAATCCCAGCGCTTGGAAGGCTGAGGCAGGAGGATCACTGTGAGTTCAAGGCCAGCCTGGGCTACATAGTGAGTTGAAGGAAAATAATAACAACAGCCCTATAAAGAGGGCAGAGTCACTGCCCTTGCTTTGGCAGTGAGGTAGCTATGGCAAGAACTGCAGTCTCACCTGGGCCAGGAACTGGAATGGAAACCCAGTGCGTTCTTCACCCCTACATCCTGACCTGTGTCAGGTTTCCTGTAGGAGCATCACCTTTCCCTTCTCAGAGGCCCTAGGGGGGGGTCCTCTTTCCCACCCACTCTTGCACTAAACCTTCCTCCATCCCCAGCCACTCCCTCTTCATATTACTTTCTCTCTCTCTATTTCTCCCTTTCCCTTTCTTCCTTCCTTTTTTTTTTTTTTTTTTTGGAGACAGGGTCTCCCTGTGCAGTTCAGGCTGGCCTTGAACTCTAGGCAGTCCTCCTGCCTCAGCCTCCCTGGGATTACAGGTGTGTGCCACCATACCCAGCTCTTATTGACTTCTTCCCATCTAACTCTTTTTTTTTTTTGGTACTGGGGATTGAACTCAGGACCTCGTCCTTACAAGGCAGGCATGGTGCCAGGGAGCTAAATCCCCAGCCCTCTTAACTCTTGACACATTACGATTTCCTTATCCTCAAACAATCTCCACTTGGTTCTTCATCCTAAACTCCCCTCTTCTCTCTCATCAACACACCTGATGCACAGATTTATACAAGGAAGCACAGAAGTTCTGGCTTCTTCTGCATTATACTTTTGTGTAGTGGTTGACTTATTTTTATAGTAAGAAATGGTTTTTAAAAATATGGGTTTAGAATCTCACCTAATTTGCTTTGTGATCCCACTCCTAAGACTTTGTTTTAGAATTATTATTTGTCAGAAGTTCAGTGGTGAATCACTGGTATCCTCCCACTCCTCCCTAGTCTGACCTTGACCCACATCCTGTTTTCAATTCTATAGGTCTGGTCTATTGGGTGGCACTAGTTGAAAGTTGAAGTGGCTTCTCTACTTCTGCGTCCTGCTGCTATCTCTGTCAGAGAACTTCCCTCCCTGCCCTTGACCCCTTGCCTCCATGGTCTGCCTGAAATAGTGGTATTGTCTTATGGGCTTTTGAGATCTTGGTGCCTTCTGCAAAATTACTGCATAATTTTGGGTGATTCAGATCTTCACCAGGTACCCCTATGAAGGCAAACCTTAGGTCTGAGATTTTGCAAGGGACTTTCAAAAAGCAGGCACTGCAGTGGATGCTCATAGATTCCAGGTGACCCAAATTAGACAGAAACTGTTGATTATGTATATGGCTGGGGGTGTGACACAGATTTAGAACCCAAACTTTTCACTCTGTTTTTTGTTCCTCAATAAATTTTATATTATGTGCATAGAAAACTGACTTTAAAAAATAATTCTTACTGGGCTGGGGATTTAGCTCAGTGATTCCGGCGCCTGCCTCGAAAGCACAAGGTCCCAAGTTCGATCCCTGGTACAAAAATAATAATAATAATAATAATAATAATTCCTACATCTGGCTGTGTGACAGACTGCTACTGAGGATTCTTCCTCTTCGAGATATCCTAGACCAGTGAGAATGAACCTTTTACAGCTTTCAGTGATGCAAACAGCGTCCTGTGGCACTTATGACATAGGTTCCCTACCATTGTCCTAGATCCTGGTTAGGCTGCTCTTTGGATTGCTGGCCTGCAGAAGGCTGAGCCCTGGCCAACTGTCAAATGGGGAAGGCAAGCCTGGGATTTCTCTGTTCTCCCAGGATTATGTGGGGACCTGTGGCATCCTCTGGCTCCTTTGGAAGCTGGTGTACAATAGAGGGAAACGTCTCCAGTTTATGGTTGTGAAAATTGCACAGGTTATGTCAGGCGGAATGAGCACACAATCACAATTCACCTGGTATGAAGGAAATGACATCATGAAGGAGAACAAACATAATAAACAGATGTAGATACACTCAGGGACAATAAATGCATACTGGCACTGTTAAATATGGGCTATAATGTCAGACACTGTGGCACACACCTGTAATCCCAGCATTGAGGGAAGCTGAGACAAGATTGTAAGTTTGAGTCCCACCTGGGCAACTTGGCAAGGCCCTGTGTCAAAATAAAATGCAGCTGGGCATAATGGTGCACACCTGTAATTCTAGCACTTGCGAGCCTGAGGCAGGATCACCAAGAGTTCAAGGCCAGCCAGAACTACCCATAGTATGACCCTGCCTCAAAAACACCACAACCACCAGCATTAAATTAAAAGGTTAGGGGGCCGGGGATTTAGCCCAGTGGTTCTGTCGCCTGCCTCGAAAGCGCAAGGACCTGAGTTTGATCCCCGGTACCAAAAAAAAAAGTTAGGGGATATAGCTCAGTGGTAGGGTACCCAGGAGTTTAATCCCTAGTACCAAAAATACACACATCATCACATCCTCCACCCTCCCACCCTACCCTGTGCTATAGCAATGGTGGCGAACTTACGGTTTGAGGGCTGTATTGGGCTGCATCATTGAAAGCTTTAAAGGGTTCACCATCACTGCGGTATAGATTCCTCGTGTGTAAAGAAGGGTAGGATTCTAACTGAAAACGCTGTAACCAATCACATTTGAAAAGGAGCTAATGGTCCTTACAGAAAGTAGAAATACAGTTATTGAAGGAAGAATGTGTGGATGGGCAAACAGCAGATTTGGTAGAGCTGAAAAAAGAATTTGTAAGGGCCTGGGGATTTAGCTCAGTGGTTCTGGCTCCTGGCTCGCAAACGCAAGGTCCCGAGTTTGATCCCTGGTACCAAAAAAAAAAAGTTTGTGAACTGCTCGTGGTGGTGCATACTTGTAATCCCAGCATTTGGGAGGCTGAGGCAGGAAGATCACTGCAAGTTTGAGGCCAGCCTGGGCTATGTAGTGAGTTCAAGGTGAGCCTGAACCTGCATAGTGAGACCCTGTCTCAAAAAGCAAAAACAAAAAAATTTGTGAACTAAAGCTACATGTGAAGAAATTACCTAGTATAACACAGAGAAAAGGACCTGGAAGATACAAAAGAAAGGGCAAGAAATGGAAAGACACAGTTCTGACCAACCAGGATCTAATCAAAGCCCCAGAGCACCAAATGGAGAGAATGGAAGAAAATAGTCTGGGAAGAGATAACAGCTTCAAAAAGCCCAGCTGACCCCAAGCAAGTTAAGTCAAAGGCTTCTATATCTTAACCTGCTGTTGTGGAAATGCAGACAACAAAGGCCTGAAGGATATCTTAGAAACAGGTAATTCTGTTAGAGTAGCACTCAGTAGATTCAGCAGTGGAGTCAGAAGGATAATAAAATGTTAAAGTGATTCAAACAGAGCTACCAACCATTTGGTTCCTGTAAATCTAGTCCAAGGCCACAGGAAGTAAGTCTCTCTCTCTCTCTTTCTCCCTCTCCCTCTCCCTCCCTCTCCCTTCCTCCCTCCCTCTCTCCTTCTCCCTCCCTCCCACCTTCCCTCTCTCCTTCTCCCTCCCTCCCACCTTCCCTCTCTCCTTCTCCCTCCC